AGAATTTATTTACATTAAAAAAGAATATAAATTCTGTATAAATTCTAAATTCAATAATCAATATAAATCAAAATTTATTTACATTAAAAATAATATAAATTCTGAATTCAATAATCAAATAAATCAAAATTTATTTACATTAAAAAAATAATATAAATTCTGAATTCAAGACAAAATAATATAAATCAAAATTTATATAAATTTTAAAGGAGAGAAGACCAACATTACCTAGTAAATTTATATTTCAAGACAAACAATAGCATTCAAGCAATATGATAGCATTCGACTATTATTTGTAATACTAAACAAGTAAACATTGTAAACAGTAATAGTGATATCTGAAGAGGTCTAAATCTGTCGGTTTAGAGTAAACATTGGATAGCGCTTTATGCAGAAAAAAATGGGTGTTCATACATGTTTGCTTAGGTTATTCATATGTGGTCATATGTGGTCATACATGTTAACGTGTGTTCAGGTGCCAGATATGGCTACTAAGAATGAAACTTCAATCCCAACTCTATGCACACATGGAAACTTGATATGTGTTGAATGGTTGATGCATTTTCTCATGTAAATTATATATAATATATACAGAAACTACTTAGATAAACTGATAATTTGGAACAGAGCATGCAGAGAAGTTGACTGAATTCATATTTATTAATATTATAGTCATCTCCTCCCTCAACCTTCAACATGATTGGTTACTTTGAAATTAGATGATGTCTTAGTCAAGAAACAAAATGGTTTGATTATAGCTAGTTCATTGGGACGTGCCTACATGAAAGTTGGTTTAGATTGGAGGGACCTTCAATAATTAGTTTGGAGATTCTTATAATGTAGTTCTGGGAGAGTGGATCTAAAAATAGAGATAGCTGTTCTGATACTAACAGAATTTGTAATGCAGAGGCAAACCTAGTGGTGGAATTACGCTTCACATTTTTATATTGTTTAAGCAATTATGATAACACCCATTTTTTTCTGCATAATTCAGATAACGATTATGTTTCACATTGGATGGATCATGGCTGGACAAACCTGGTGGTGGAATCAAACTCCCAATCGACTGGAAGTTGCAAAAGTTTATAATATATTATCTCCAACAGTTATAAAAACAGTAAATACTAAAGATTGTAATAGAATAAAATGGTAAAGAGGACTCACCGCCGCCACCGATGATTGTATTCGCCGGAGAGTTCGCGGTGAGTCGGTGACTGTAGTCTATGAGCTGCGAGTTTGACCTGCGATTTTGACAATGATCACTTGATCAGTTCACGTGAGAGAGAGAGAGAGAGAGAGAGAGCTCACCGCTGGTTGTGGCTGCGAGAGTGTGAGGATGAGAACTGTGGCGTGTGGAGGATGTGGAGATTGGAGATGAAGGGTTCGGCTGGAAACAAGAATGGGAAGAGGCAAAGAGGTCTCGACTAGGGTTTTTACTTAGGTTTAACTATAGGTCGGGCCGGGATACTTTGGCAAATCCCAAGCCCGGCTCGAATTTATTGCGGGTTGGGTTTTTTGGCCCAAGGTTAAGCCCGCGGGCCCATATACCTGTTCAAGCCCGTCCGGGGGCCGGCCCATGAACAGGTCTAGTCCCCACATAAATCTGAAGAAAGAACATGAAATTCTTGATCAATGGGAACCAAAATCCCATTAACCAACTTTCCCCCCTCTCAAAATCCGAAAAAAGAATACCCCCCAAATCACATGATTTTAATTTTTAAGTACCGATATGCCTCTACTAATTTGTAAACTTTTAACGTTGCTTCTACTAATTTGTAAACTTTTATGTTTGGATGTTGTTTTTGAAACACATGAAAATGTGGAAATGGACCAAAATTTGATAGAATTATATTAACCAATTGAATAAATTTTTAATGCTCGTTTTTTTTTTTTTTGAAAATGCTCATTTAATCAATTGACCCCACATAAGCAATGTCAAAAACCTTTCGCATTGGACCGATATGCTGAACCTTAACTCAGCTTGCTAAATTCAGCCCCAACTCAATAAAACTTTTAGTACTTTTTTTAAGCATGTAGACCCAAAGTAGGGCTGTCCATGGACTTTGAAAGTCCCATATCCAATTGACTTTAATGTTAAAACTTGCATCTAATCTGATTAAAATTCAAGTCCGACAAAAAATTATCATTTTATAATCAATAAATTTAATATTTATTATACATATAGAAGTAAAAAATAATTAACTTTTTAAACTTTTTATTATTTTAAACATAATATTCAGATGATTTGTAAATTAAATCCAAATCCTGATCTGAAATCCAACATGACAATAGGATGCCAATACGCATCTCAAGATTTGATAATCGGATGCAAATGCAGCCGGATCTGATCCGTTTACATCCCTGGCCTGGACCAAGTCAGTTGGCAGCGAGCCACCGAGCAGAATTCAGATCATCTTGTATCCGTGCATGTTTCAGCGATGCATTAGAACATTTCCGTGATTGTAATTGTTTTGGGAAATTCCACTTTAATCCCTTAAACTTTGGGATTAGTGTTAAGTTAGTATCCAAAATTTCAAATGTGTTATTGTAATACCTAAATTTTTGAAAAATGTCAAATTGGTTTTTATTGTTACTTTAATGATTGTTATTTGTTGAAAATGTCAAAACTATCATTCAAAATAAGATACTATTCATTATCTTCTACTTTGAAATTGAATCAATTGAGATATTCAAGATTCTAGACTAAATAAGTAATTGTCCTCAACCTTTAAATCTAAAACATATTATTGTTTAGTTATTTCTTTGCTTCCAATTATTATTTTTCTTTATCATATTTCATATTTTTTCTCTAAGTATTGATTTAATTTTAAGGATGGTATATTAACGACAGGGACCAATTTAGACACTTTTCAAAAATTTAGGTAATACGATGACACATTTGAGAGTTTGGGTACAATATTTTGACACAACATCTTATTAGGCGGGACCCATTAAATGGTCGGTCTTGATGCTTTGTTGTATTAAATTATTAATCTACGGTTCAGTGTTTGAGCTGAAAGTATACTATTATCTCCAGAACGCAACGTTTACTATTTTTGCTAATTGCCAACCCTTGACCCTTCTGCACTCTCGCTCTCTGGTCCCTTTACGGCTATAGTTATCTAAAGTGAGAAGATATCTTCTCCATAGCTTAACATACACAGAGATAAGAGAGGGATCGAAGAAAATGAAGGAAAAAGAAAAGGTGAAGAAGAGTGAGATAGAGCTTCCGAAGCTACCAGGTGAAATCATGGAAGATATCCTTTCAAGGGTACCTGGAAAATCCCTTATGCGGTTCATGTGTGTCTGCAAATCATGGCGCAACCTGTTCAGCGATACTCGTTTCACCAAGATGCATCTGAATCGAGCAACTGAAATCTGCAGCCACTCTCCTCATCTCATCTTTGCAACTGCAACCAAGCTCTACCATGCTGATCTTGATTCATTTGACCATACCACATCACTTCATCTACCATTTCGGAAGAGGCCAGTTAAGAATCTCCAACTAGTTGGCACCTGCAATGGCTTGGTATGTATATCACTTAACTCCAAACTCACATATCTGTGGAACCCCACGACCAGAGATTACAAGGAATTGCCCCGTCAAATCCCCAAAAGCCGATGCAGAGGCTGGCGTTGGGTCTATTGGGGGTTTGGTTTTAACCCTATTTCTGATGAATATAAGGTGGTACGAGTTGTTACTTTCTCTGCTCTCGACAAAACTGAAGTCCATGTTTACACACTAGGGACGAATTCATGGGGAAGTGTTGAGCTTGGGGACATTGAGTTCAATATTGACACACATGGTAGATGGCTCCAACTTAATCAGAGCCTTGGCAATAGATCTCTTCATTGGATTGCTAAGAAGAAAAACATGGCTTTCTATGAAGCCAATTCTACGATACTAGTTTCTTTTGATCTTGAAGAAGAGATGTTCAGAGAGATCCTATTGCCTGAATCTGCAAAAAAAGCTGACGTTTCCCTTGAATTGTCAAGTTTCAATGGGTTCCTCTCTATATTTTGTTCCTCCTGCTTCCAGAGTCTTGAGGTGTGGGTAATGAAAGATTATGACGGACAGCAAACTTGGATCACCACATTTTCAATAGGGCGCTTCGATTTATATGTCAGGTATTTTAAGCCATTGGGTTTTGGAAATAATGGTCAAATTATACTTACCAAGGAATTTGAGAAGTCAATTTATATATTCGACCCAGTATACAAAAGAATTAGAAAGCTTCGAACCCCAGGTCATCCAGTTAATGCAGAGATTGATGTGCAGAGCCTCGTTTCACTGAGCTGATCATTATGTGGATGGGCAACAATCAGCAAGAATGGAATGTGAAGAAAACTAAGAGAAGATGTTAACTCTTACAGTCTTACCTGGGATTCTGTCTTTCTCTTTCGATAATATGCTTATTTTTTTGTATTGCTTAGAACATCAAAGAGTTCAGGACTCTTCTATATCTTCCTCTCATCCTATATAGCCTGGACGTAGGATTTCATGGTATAAAAAGGATAATTAGTTTAACAAAAGCATTGTTATACCTATGTTCTTTGTATCTCTTCAATCTTGTTATACTGTCAGCTTTTCGGTTTCAATTGCACAATTTCATTGTTATAATGTCCATATGGAGGATTGCAAATCAGGAAGCCATGATTTTGTAGCTGACATCAGCAAAACCTTATATTAACTCATAGTAATGTCAGCCAATGCACTTAATATTTCTACATGTTTGTTTTAGGGGGCGTTCTTTTTTTTTTATTTTGATGGGGAAATCTGGTCAATGGGATTTTTGTTTTCATTGGCCAAAAATCCCATGTTATTTTTTCAAATTAATGTGGGGACCAGCAAAGTTTATTTTCCTGGTATCCTAGGTGGGTAAATAACTTTCCCCTCTAACACTTAAATGGGACAAAAATGCCCCTTTTAATAATGAATTTTTATGGTTAAAATGGTCATTTCCTTTTTTACTTGAGAAATAAAAGAACACGGGTAAATACACTTACTACTTACCCAGAAAAAACTTACCCAGGTAATTGCATTTACCCGGATAAGTAATTTACTGAAAAGCGGAGCCTTAATATTAGAGAGTTATGGTTATTAACTGTTATGGATTCAAAACCATAGTTCAAATGCATGTTCAACCTTAATTTTTTGTCATGACCAAACAAACAGATAACTATTGAATACAAAATTGCAGCATTCAACGAGGGCATGGAACACTGGTTTACTACAATTTGGGTTGTCCTGATTTGTACTAGAAATCTAAACTTGGGACATCAAATTTGGTTTTTATGAAAAATGCATTCTTCAAAGCTTTGACAATGTAGTTATCCCACTGCTTCATACACCCAATAGCGCATTTCACGACAATCAAGGTGATGCGCCATACACCCTGAATATAGAATGCACAATCTTGGATGATTGGAAAAACGCTGAAGTTGATGTATACTTTCTCTGGGTGTTTTAACCAGTGGAACAATTCACACCCCCTCCCCCCAATTGGCAATGAGAATAGAGGTTAGTGTCATCAGCTAACTTAATGATTTGTTGTGACAGTTGTTTTTGTTTTGAAGAATCAAAATCATATATATTGCAGACCCCAATCTAATTACCACAGATGGGAAAGTTATGATCACTAAATGTGTTCGAAGTTATAAATAATGGTTGTATAAATGCTGTTCTGCTGGTCCAAGAGAACTGACAACTACATACCCACAGTAATATATGGTTGGTTCTGATGATTCAGAAGAAGTGCTTAACAATCAAAAAGAAAAAACATCAGAAGTGCTCTCAATCCATTTTCTTAAACTTGGTGCATATGAAGAAACCCAGGAATATGTGCAGTCCAATTGCGTCCAGGGCTCCAGCTCCTTCATTGTTCTGAAGTAGTGAAGTGATTTTAGCATGAAACAAACTCTTATTTTTCTTCTTCCGATCATTTACAATCAAGGAATATATTAATGATGCTAACTGATAATCCCTTCATTCAAGATTAAGCCAACAAATTAATTCTTATCTATTTTATTCTCGTGTACTGTTGTTTGGTGAGGACGAAGTAGCCCTTACACTGAGAACATGAGGAGCTATTGAGGCAGGATCTCTGTTTACAATGGTTATCCAATAAATGCTGTAGCTCGTTAAGGACCAAACACTGAACACCAACCACTTAATAAGTGATAATTGCTTTAAAGGTGGAGCTGTTACTCTAAAACCTGTTAATAGAAATGAAAGTACCTTCTACCATGGTTAATAGAGAAAGAAGGAAAAGAGATCAGCTCCAATGTTGGATTAGTGGCTAGAATCATTTATTTTAGATAATATAACATAATTGTGTTATTTTTCAATTGTTCCATTTTGAATGATTCTCATGTTACAAAGTCCATATGAGCCAGAGAAATTGGAAGCCCTTCAATTTGCAGGTAAGTTGGTTGGTTCCCATTTCGCAACTTTATTTGAACCATATAAATTAGGCCAATAGCATTGCCACATCAAGTGCAGAGTTGTAGACAATCGATGTCTATATTTTCCAGTTTCAGGTTAGACAGGAAAAAGGAAAAAACTACTTAACTACATTGTCATGTTTGACACTGGTAGAGTAGAGATAGACGAAATTTGGGGTCAAAGCACTGTCTAATATGCATCGGATGGTAGCTTGCTCCTTAAGTAAGTTGACTAATGCAGAAACAAAACTGGTCATTCTGTTTAAAGCAAAAGTTTACTAATTGCATGCACCAGTCTGTATTTGTTTCATCATTCATGCTAGAACTGAATCCATTATTATGTTTTTAAGTGTTAAGATGTATCATCTTCAAGAATGCTTAGAGGGTTGTTTCTTTCTGTATTAAAGCCACACTTCAATACATGAATTTGGAAATCACATATTTTTTTATCAGCAAAGTAAATTCATTTATTAATTTATTAAGTTACTGATAGTTTCAGGCTTTCAGCAATTATAGTGACCCAGGTTACAACAGATTACAACTTTGCCCAAAATAAAAGTAGGACTATTTTGGAAATCACATATTTTACTGTTCAAAACTTAGTCTTGGACAAATGATTCCGTGGGTTTTGTTGGGCCAACAATTTTGACATTCCACTAGGGCTTAGCAGTTTCTTCTTGATTTCCTGGGACTATTAAAATTTTCATTAATTGTTAATGTTTTCTGACTTTTCTCCGATTTTCCAATTGCTTGCAGTTGCATAGTTTACAAATTGTTTAATGGAATCACTAGTATGGAGTTGCACTTTTGACTAGAATTCTAGTTTCTTGAGTTCCTACAGATGATCCCTTGTAAGGGAGGGGCTCTGTTAGTGTTATTTATGTCATACCTATACTTGTTGATAGCCTTCTTTCAGTTGGGACAGTCGTACAGAAATCACCACAGCTTTTGTAATTTTCTTGGTTCATCCTTTTCTTAGTTCAAATACTTTTCAATTGATGCTGATGGGTTGTGAACAATGTTTTGAAAATCATAATCATAGAAAGTTGAACCGAATCGAATCGTGAATCATATTGTAAATTGTACGATTATTTTTATTTTTTAAAAACTTGTAAAAAAATTAAATATAAATATATTAAAAGGCTAAATATATACAGGAAAGTCATTTTACCCTATTTTTAATCTATATTTTATCATATATGCAATTAAAATGATAAAACTTACCACTTATAGAATAGAAGCCTAAGATGATATAATCAAGTTTGACTTAAAAATCAAATAAATCTATATGCAATGGCTCTTTAACCTACATATGATGGAAAATACACTCAATTTGTAGTCTTAAATAACCTAACTAAATTATTTCCTAGTAAGGGCTTTAAAAAACTCACCCTTGGCAAAGCTAAATAAAAACAAAAAAAAAAGTAGAAAACTAATTCTTAGTTGAATTTATTTAAATCATAGTGAATTGTAGAAACTGTATAGACGATAAGATTTATGAATCAAATCGTAGGAATCAAACAAAAATTGTAAGATTTTTGCATAAAAGAATTTAGAGATAAGATTCGAATTGAAGCCTTTGTGATTCATGATTCAAATTGTGAATAGTATCATAAATTGTAAGATTTTGACAGCATTTGTTGTGAAGAACATGTGGGCGGAATCTAGTATTTTACTCCTAACTATTTAGATTTTCTCTTTGCATTTTCTTTCTTTCTTTTTTCCCACTCGTTAGACTTTTCTTTTTGGGACATAAGATAATTCTCGTGGAATCATCAGTCATTTTATGTGGTTACCTTCAGATTTAAGGGTCATCTAACTAATCTCTAAGGCTATGTTTGGTTTGAAGGAAAAAGTAGGGAAAGGAAGGGAAAGGTAGGGAAACCTATACAAGATGCCCTTTTTGACATAGCCTAAAAGTGAAACTCAGTGGATTCAAGTAATTTACCACAAAACTATGATTCCCTTTTTGACATTTCATAGAACAATTTCCTTTGGTTAAAGAAGGTTAGAGGTCACTTCCCTGAAAGGCTAATCAGAAGCATTCCTTTAAGATAAACTGGTTTTTGTAGCCGATCATAATATCAAGATAAACAAAGAAAGCTAAAGAATCTAGTAGACAACTAAGATAAAAAGAGCTTAAATTTATCGTTTAAAGTAGATAATTGACAAGCAAAACCATCTACTCAATCATACCCTATGAAAGCTACACATGGAAAACACACAACCAAGGCACCAGATTAAAAAAAAACAAAAATCAAGCTTGAGATTCACAATTTCATAGAAGGCAAATGTTATAATTTCTAAAACAAAATCATCTTCTTAGGATTCAGAAATTACATTAACAGAAAAGGAAGCGATACCCTCCTCAACTAGAAAATAGAGACTCGTCAATCTCAATCTTAACAATCTCATTGTCTTCAAAACGATCTTTCTTAGGTGGTGCCGGAGGAACCGGAACCCTAGGAGGACCTCTGCCCTTCTTCTTATTCCTCGGCCTCGCCTGAAAAAAAGAAAAGAAAAGAAAAACGTAATAGAAGCACCAGTTTCATCAAGAAAAACCCAACATAAGCTTCGAAAACAAAACATTCATGGAGAACAACTTCTTATGGAGCAGATAGCGAACTTACGTTTCCGAAGGAATGCCTGAACCTTTTGCCTTTCGCAGTCTTCTTGTCACCTCTGCCACAGTACACTGAACAAGAAACATAGGATTTAAGGTGAGAATTACAGAGATATTTAAAGAAGAAAAGAAAGAGGTTGGTTTCTGAGAAATGGCTGTGACTTGCCCAAGGGGAGTGTTTGAGGAGCAGCTGCAGACATCGAAATTGAAGTGGGAGGACCAGCGAGGGACACGCCGAGGGTTTCGGACCGAGAAAACGAGACTTGGGACGAGAGATTGAATGCTCGAGAAGCCATGGGAAGAGCTCCCAGGATCAGTGACGCCATGGCTGAGTGACTGAGAGAGAGGGAGAAGAAGATAAGGTCTGCGAGACGTTAGGGTCGTTTGCTTTTGATTCTTTGGCGAACCAGCATGTGAGTAAGCGGTGTGTGTTGGAAACCGTCGATCAAGTGATCCCACAGCTTGAACCGTCGGAGATGCTTGTAATTTGCAAACATGGAGGATTGATTTAGTGAATTGTTTCCTACCTAATCATCTGATTCAACGATATCTAACTGGAACATGGTCTTTAGAACCGAACCGGTCAGGGCACCGTTTTCCGGTTTGTCGGTTCAACCGTCAGGGTCGAACGGTTCGATCCGTGACGTCATAAAAAAATACTTATATATAATAAAAATACCATAGAAATTTACATAAAATACCAAAAATACACAAAAATACAGGAAAAAGAACAATACATGAAAAAAATAAAAATATCTAAATATAAAAATAATAAAATACAGAAAATACAAAAAAAATACAGAAAAAAATTCCAAAAAATACAGAAAATTTTCCAAAAAATATAGAAAATTTTCCAAAAATATAGAAAAAATTCCACTATAGTACTTAGACCCTTTGGCCTACCTGAAGGATCCATGTCAAAAGATATGTAGTCTAATAACCAAAAACCCAATGTCCTAATAGAAAAAAGTTACAACTTATAATTGAGAAACAAAATCATTCATTGATAAATACCCATTATAACAGCTCAATGCACCTTACCATTAGCTATCTCAAACTTTCAGCTTCTACTTTCTTTGAGTTTCTGACAAACCCTTTTAACCTGTATTCCAAATATATGAAGAAAAAGGTAAGAAAAACTTCTACCAGGCTATAAGCAATGCAAACTATAAAATGAGTACTTTCTTTCACCTTATGGAAAGGGACCCCTTTAGATGGTCAAGTCTTTCAGAGTTCCTTTGGACTTATTGTTCAAAAAACACAAAGAAGACAAGAAAATAAATTTTGCAAAAGATTCTATTCATATTACTATAATATCATGCATTCTTAATTCATCAAACATAATACTTAGATACTCAAAAATAAAAAGATCATAAACACAAGTAACAAAAAGATCAAAAACCAAGTTCACCAAGTATTAAACACAAATCAAAACTTCAAGTTCAACATAGAGTTTGGTTTACTATTCTAATCATCCAAATTCTCCAGATATGTTGGCCCCACTTCTTAATGGTACCAACTACCAACCAAAGCCAGGTGGTATTTCACCATCATCTTCATCTTCATCTTCATCTTCATTTTCATCTTCGGGAGGTTGTGTTTCATCTGCATCTCCAACTTGGGTGTTGGTTGCATTTTCCTCCATGATTTCTCATTGCTCAATGAAAAATTCATCATCATCTATAGAATGAAAATAGAAAATTAAAACTCAAAAAATAGCTAAAATAATCAAGTATGGAAATGTCATTTGAGATAATATTAATGATAGTTACCATCAGTCCTAGCTATTTTTCTTGATGGTGATTCCATTATTGGAAATATTGTTTCATCAGCTTTAAACATATCATCCTTCTCATTACCATCAAGTAATGGAGGATCCTCATCATCGTACACTATCCAATCTTCCACAACATCAACATGTTCATGCCCAATTGGGTCATGGCTTTCAGTTTTTCTCCTACAAATTAATAAATGATACATTAGATGCAATGCAAGCATTAAAAAAAACAATCATGAAACAAAAAAGTTAAAACACTTACCCATCCATTATCACATGCAGGTTGCAATGAACATATACTAGGTCATTGAGCCTCTGGTGCTCTAACCTATTCATTTTCTTCGTGTGTATACGCTCAAAAACACTCCAATTGTGTTCACATTCAGATGAGCTACACATCTGGCTAAGGATCCGTACAACAATCATTTTCAAATTTGGAGTGTCACAACCAAATCTCGACCATCATTCACCTATATACAATGAAATAGAGTTAATTTAGTTTATAAAATAAAATTGAAAATTGAAATAATAAACATGTTATAAGAAACAAATATTTATTACTTGGAGGTGTTGACTTAAATGTCTTCACTGACAAAGGTCTTCCAAAATTACCACGACAATTTTAAAAAAGAGTAAGCTCTTTGTTCAACTTTATTTCCACATCATCTGATTTGATTGTAAGCTTTTCAATGACATAAAAAACTGTAGACATAACGGTCGGGGATTTAACTTTTAATTTCAGATCATATTGGAAGGTCGGGTTAAAATAATACCCTGCAAGATGAAGCCTCTGACCCATTCAACTTTCTTATAATTAAAAAACTTTTCCAGTGATTATTTTTCCTTCAACATTGCATGATACATATACCCCATTGCAGACCTAAACTCAGAATCTGCAAATCTCAATGCACTAACAAGAGGTGATGTAAAACCCACAATCATTTTGCATTGTGCCCAAAATTCAGAATCCAAAACTATTTGTATTACTTCCTTCCCCTTTGCATCTTTTGCATACCTAGAATCAATAAAACTCCGATCTGTCACCAAATTTTGCAAATCATGCATGTGCTTCAAAATGCTATCAAATGCAATGAAATTAATTGCAAAATGAGTGGCTCCAAGACGTACTATCTCAGTCCAACCAGGTCTCTTCCTTAGCATTGAGAGTACAAAAATATGATTGTAGACAAATTTGGTAATTCTAGATGCATGTTGAACCACATTTGCAACATAATCCATTTCCCTAATTTCCCTAATTTGTAGCATTGTCAGTGACCACCTAAATAACATTTTTTGCTTTTACCCAATCAATAACTTCCTTAAACAAAAGTATAAATTCTCTGCACTTTTGACTGTTTAAGAAGCATCTACAAACTTCACAAATGCAGTTCTTGTAGGACAATACACTAAAAAATTAATCAATGTTCATCTGCGTGTATCTGTCCAATCATCAACCATTATAGTGCAACCATATGTAGCCCAATCCTTACGGAGTTTATCAACTGACATTTGCACCTCTTGAACTAAATCCTTCAACAAATTGGTCCTACTGTTATGATATGAAGGAGTTTTGTACCCTGGACCAATAGTAGCAAGGGCATCCAACATAGGCTGAAAATATCTTGAACGCAAAGCATTCAAGGGAATACAAGCATCACACAACCACTTCATAACAGCATGGTCTACATGATTAATTGCTCCCTTAGATGCCAATACATTCTTAATTCCAGGTTGTGCACTTGAAGTGGCCCGTGGAGCAAAATGACTTGTTATTAGCCTTGAAGATGCTTTCCCCTTTCTCGATGATGTAGTTGGTTTTTTCCCTTGATAGGTATCATGTGTACTAGGTGGATCTATTTCTCTAATCTCAATATCATCATCATTATCATTCCTTCCACATTGTGCTCTAG